TTATAAAATAATGTTTTGTGTTACTAAATAAACCCGTTATAATGGAACGACAATTGATCAAAGTAACAATGTAAGAGAAATGCTGCGGAAAACTGCAACATTTTCGCTCTCATGGAAATGGTGCTTGCAACCTGCTTCCAGTTAGATCATGAAATACATGATTTTTTATAAAACTGAGAGCCGTAGAGTGCAGTGGTGCGATCAGCAGAGCGAGGGAAGAATTCGGCTGTTAACGAACTAATGGACCTACAATTAAATTGAGCAGCCTGCTGAGGAATCCCTGACGAGTCGTTTGCTCAGCTTGGAAGAAACATCTCGTTGGTGTGTCTTCAAAAATTGTAGGTAGCTGTCTGGGCAAATCAGTGCATGCCGCTTGCCAGAAGCCCTCCATGACAGCATCTGACAATGCATTAATAAATGTATGCCATGCTAAGAGCATTGAAATACCGTAATTTTTTAGAATTAAATAGTAAAGGACGCGGTTTTCGAGCAGTTGCCAGCAGTACTCCTGATCAAAATTTACCGCTCGTAGTACACCAGCTAGCTGACGACCAAATTTTTTACAGGCCCAAATATTATTCTTCACCAAATCCTCAAATGGTGACTCAATCAGCTTATCCAAGAATGTTATTAGAATTTCATAAAACTGCTGCTCCAAAAAATTTGTCATGAATCTTGGCCGGACTACTGCTGCTTGAGGATATCCCAAATAGTATATTGCATGAGCAACATCGTATTCCGTTTGTCGACATACTCTCACTTTACTTCGAATTGAACGCCAGGATGTGCGCAAGGGATGCGCAGAAAAAGGCATCGAATTTAATTATTCTGCTTCTCCACAGTGCTTCTCCGCTTTGGATACAAATATGCTTCTGCTGATGACTAATTTAGTCGGCAGTATAAACCCTTATACTCCCGAAAAACGGTATCAGTATACGATATGGCATTTCCTAGTCAGTGATTCTGCAATTAATTAATATTCAGTTAAGAAATTTATCAAACTTCAAACTCGCACACGGTTCATTCAATACACGTGCACGCACCAAGCGTGGTGAATACAAGGCATGGAAGAGCCAATCCTAGTAAAAGATTATGGCACAGCTGCGCTTGGAGTGTGTTACACCTCCATACCAACACTCTGACCAATCATCGTGAAGACTAACTGAAACTACGGCTGCTATATATGCAGCTTGTCAAGCATCGGCAAATCCGGCTTCAGCATCTGTATTAA